AAGCGTATCGAAATAAAAACCGTGAGCGATTGGACGACTATATGTTTTGTGAATTATTCAGAAATGTTCTGGGTCAGGGGTTCCATTTGGTTTGAACTCTATTAGAGATAGTCCACGATCTCCTGATTTGTTGTTCAACAAGGTTACATAGGAGCCATGCCGAATTTTGCCAAACAAGTCAATAATAATGAAAGACGAGGTGACGTGAACAACTCAAATCACAGTACTTTTATAAAAGAAAATCGCGAGAAAGTACTGCCACAAAACGGACGAAATACTGTAATTTACTGTACAGTATATTGAAAAGGGGGAGAAGAATGAAATTTGAAAGTCAACTTTTGCCTTTATTTTTATATGTGTTGTGGTTTCACCAGTTCTTTTTGTCAGTCACGGGCTTTTCAAGTATGAGAAATCATGATTATTAGTACAGTACCAGACTACCAATATGAATATCGTCACAACAGTTTTTACTAAGGATCTTTTGGATGGAGGAAATGGCAATTTTTTCAGGATAAAATGCAGGCGGACTCTTCAATCAAATCCAGGGGACCAGAAAAAGTACTGTACTGTACAGTACTTACATTTTTCAAAACGAACTTGGGGGTGTCAAGTCTCCTCTGGAATTTCATGAACAATTTTGAATATCAGCCCTGACTGAGCAAACAAAAAACTCACTTCCGCACTAAAAACAAAGCGGTTAACGTTTTCTTTGCGTGACCAAATATTTACATATATTACAGGACAAAAATTATAATCATACACTCATATACTTCCAGTCCATTTTCAGCTTTGAAATCAACACACCGTTATCTTTCAGATTTAGAGCTTAATTTTTCTAAACGAAATATACTTGCGAATAAAATATTTATAGTTTGAAACTTTTCAATCTTAAATCTTCTCACAATAGTTACAAAATTTATGATCACAAATTTCTGAATTTCCACGTCTTCTGAATTACCTGTACGTAGAATTGTGGTGTAAAGACGGGCCTGAAAATTTAGCGGTGGTACATTTTCTGAACATGATTTAGTATTTTTCTTGAACTTAAATTTAGACTGACAGTAATCGATTTCAGCAATCTTTAAATTTAATATTTTCCCAGCCCTCTTTCTTGGGTATATATTCGTGTGTTTGGGAGAAAAGGGAAGCCCAAAATAATACTTCAAGAAATTTCAGAATGCTGGAATTCTTTCGTGAGCAAAATCGGCGACTTCAGCTGAGTTGGGAACAGATAAGTCATGGGGAAACGAACAGACAACAGGAACTGCAAAAAATGTAGAAAAATGTTGTTCCTATTCACATACTCTCAAGATTATTATCTAATTATCTCCAGTCATGTGAGTGTCCTTTAGTTATAGTTAACTTGATTATCCTTGTTGTATATACTAACTGAACCCCGTCAACCTCCGCAAAAATTTAGGCTGCTTCTCTCAGCTGGGTTCGCTTTCGAAAATGCCAATTCGGGTTATCCACCGGACTGTTCTGCTAAATCAACAACAACAAAAACCACTTCCTAGCTTCCAGGACCCCCAGCATGGTGTTTCTTAACGCAATTTACCCCAAGAAATGACGATTGAAAAGGGCAAATTTGCGAGAGACATGAATTGAGAAGCGACGTATATATGAAACGAAGAGGAGTCTTTTTTGCGTCGACGCTGCGACGAACGACGGGGGATTGAGAGAAAGGCAAACAATTTTAGCGCTCATTGTTTCGCATAAATACGGGCTGCTTCGTCGACGTGGTTTCATTGCATTCTCGCCCATTGCCGGGCAAACACTTCCCACAACAGTCTTTCTAACCCCTGTTTGAAAGCGTGGTCTTGCTAAAATTCCTTCTTTCTGTAGCATAACGATAGTACCGAGCATAAAAAAAAAACGATATTACCGAGCATCTTAAAAAAATTATTTGTGAAAAATTAATCGATGACCTCGGCATAAATAAAATCCGTCTCCGTCTCATGGAATTTTCAAGAGAGCGTTTGTCCAACGAAATATTCGACCAAGAATAATTTTCAGATGACGTTTCAAGACGGGAGAATTTCTGAAAATATCAAAATATATATCCCACAAAAATAAAATATCAAAAATATATTGCAAAAATATACTGTATATAGGAGACTTGTTTCATAAACCAAATATTTTGGGAATTGAATCGATTGTCAAAATGATCATTCTAAACAGCTTTTTTTTAATCTTGTATAGCGAAATATATCGTAAATCAAAATTCATCACAACTTATGGAATATTTTAAGATTACGGCTGATACGAAATAATCCCAAAACTGCCATGGATATTTTTGATATCATTCAAGTAAAATTGTTGGCAGTGCTGAATTAAACATAACATCAGAACATTCAGCGGAAATTATCTTTGCAGGCTGCAATACTTCCGGTAATTTTGAGATTGAAGTTCTCGATTTCCCACATGTACAAAATTGATTTTGTGATTTTGGACAAGTTTTAAAATATGGATGAAGACGACTCTTGTTCGAAATCCCAGTGAATAAAAAAAACGGTTTGCGTGAAAAATAAAGAATTACTTTAAAATATTAGAAGAATGGTATAATTCAGATGCATATTTTAATTGTACTCATGACATTCAAGCAGTAATTCCTAAATTATATTGATCATTTTTGGTTGAGATGTGTGCGATTAATAAGGCAGATACCTATATTCATCATCAAAAAATACAGTTTAGTATTTTGCCTAAAAGCTCACCATGTTTCAAAGAAACATCATGAGTTCCCTCAAAAAACTTCAGGGAAGCGATTAAGATTCGAAAAAATGTGCATTTTCTGTACTTGCGTAATTCATGAAAATCCGTTTGCAAAATATATAAACAGTAAATCTAACTGACCAAAATGTATTCCTGCAGCTTTTTCGCAGATTCCCCGTTAACAGTTGGAAAAGTCACTTTCCTATATACAGCAAACAAAACCGATATTCGACATGGCCTTGTCGGTGAGTATTTCTAATCAGATAATTGGAAAAATGAAACGAATGAACAATTATGTAATTATCTACGCTTCTCAAAAAAAAAATATATACAGTGTTCTTCGGAATTCTGAGAAAAATTTCTTTAAAAGCAACTGGAAAAGTTGTACAAAATTTGAAAATATAGACAAATGTTTTTGAGTTTCAGACTTAGATAGAATTTTACAGTGTAGAGATAATCGTCATAATTATTCGAATAAAAAAACGTATTTTCCACGTGGAGTCTGAGAAATTGAGAAATTTTCTTCCGAGCGGATCCAAAGGTTCATTCCATCACGTCTAAATTCTACTGAATCTGAGTGATCTTGATTTGGATATCCGACTCAAAAGCTTCAGTTAAGAGTCTAATATTCTCCTGAAACCCTTCAAACTCTTGTAAACTTTCAAAGTGTAAATTTAACTTCGGATTATTTCAATGTATTGATCTCAGAGAGCAAAGCATACCATTTTGATCCAGCAAAGAAAAATCGATTTTTCTTTGATGGATCATTGCGAAAAATTGATGTTTTTTTCACGGTGTAAATTTCAAGTGAATATTTGATGAAGTGAAAATCTTAACTGACGTTGATTTTCGCAGGAATCTTCAATGATCGCAATCGTCGTCCTCGTCCTGGCAATGATCCTGTCTCAAGCAGCAGCTGTGTACAAGCCAACTTCTTCTGGTGGTCCTCTGATGCACACTATGACCAAGAAGAGCTTCCAGGACATGAAATGCAAGGGCATGTACGAAAAGACCCTCTTCTCCAAGCTGGAGGGCGTCTGCGAAGGCTGCCACCGACTTTACCAAGACCTCGACATTCCCACTCTCTGCCGGTCAGTACAATTTTTTTGAAATAATTTTCAAAATACCTGCTCGGCTCTGAATTCAATCAGCAGCATAATCGGTTTCTCGGTATATATATGTATATAAGAATGAACTTTTGTCCGAAAATTCTCAGCTGTCATCCGAGTAATTCAAAATTTGTCTATATATACAGCACAATAGCTAGATAATTCTGACAATCAAAAGCTCCGGTTGCTGACACGTATGTATACTCATGCAAAAGATTCATGGTGAAATGGCTTCACTATTCACTGAAATGTCTCTAGAAAAGGTTCTTTATCACGATACGATCCCGAATAAATTACTGCGCTTGGAGAACACCGTTTACTTTACATGGAATACAATTTAAATAGCAACAAAAAGATTCAATTGACTGAGATAACGACGATGGAAAACATGCAAAATTGCTCAGCATTGACTCGAAAAATTATGATGGCCAAATTTTCGATTTCAACTTCGATGTAAAAAGGAAAAGGGAACTTTCTTTCATGAATGCACTTTCTTACTATCCGAAGCAGTGTTCTACAGATCTACCCTAACAGAAATATAAGTACACATCAGGCATGAGTCATTGTGCAAGACGTCCATTATGCGAGGATTTCTTTCATGATTTGGAGCATCTTTATTGATACCGTTGAATATTGCGAGAATGTTGCCCCAACAAAGACTTTCGCCGAAGAATAACTCTTCGATTTGTGCCTTATGCTGACGCTTTAAACAGAAAAATCATCGTCGAAATTTAATTTAGATTTCATGCATTTATTATCGCGAACTGGATTCACTTTTTATGCCAATTTTTCCAAGTTCAGAAGAATCTTGCTCCTTGAAATTGAGTGAATTTCTTTATTTATCAGGAAAATGTTGATAATTACTGCGATGTTTCACAATTTCCTGCTTGCACCAATGCTCCCTCGACACTTTTCTACAAGAACATGCATAATTTCCCTCTATTATGAACTGCTGCTCTTTATCTCACCGATAAATGCAAGTAAAATAGAAGACTTTTTATTATAGGGTATACCAATTGTATTATTGAAACGTGAGCAGGATTCCATTTACGCATTTTCAACTCTAGACCATTTCTTCGACGCACGTTCGGCTGTACATATTTTCCTCGCACGAAATCGCGATGGGGAGCAATCTTCATACTTTCGAATAACACGAAAAGACTTACCAATCATTTCATTCTCATGTTATTGAGACAGAAGAAAAGAAGAGAATCATTTTTCCTTTGTCACATATCAGCTGGATCACATTTTGGATGATATACATGAGTATTTGTTTTTCCTCATATATAATGTCAGATCTCGCTGCTTCAACAACCCGTACTTCTTCTCCTGCCTCGATGCTCTTCTGATGAAAGACGAACAGGAGAATTACGAGAACATGATTGAATACATCGGGGGCTGGAAAAGGAAGTGAAGAGCATACCCCGAAGAGAAGCTTATTATGACCTTCGCATCTTGATGGGACGGATTTCGACTACTTCAGAAGTTTTGTTTCTTTTGAAATCGGCTTTTCTTTTGCATACGCGCATTCGTAAGAATAAAAACGATGTTCGATCATGTGTAATATATTTAAAAAACAAAATTGGGGTGTGTGTGTCTCGAACGCGGATTATATTTTGAAGTAACGCGTATCGTCGCTCCCAAATTTCGGCAAGATGATTTTATCGGTGTGGGCCCTGAGAAAAAGGAAGAGAATTTCGTGGAATGCGCGAAAAAAAAAAGGTTTTAACTTGGGTTTCCAGGTTGCATCCGGTTTCTGTTTGTCCTTCGGTTATAATTGATGCGCACGCTCGTTTTGCTTGCGGTATAACGGTGTGTTATTGTATTCGTGAAAAAAGTTTGATCTGACGAAACAAAGGCAGAATGTTGCAAATCAAAATCGTGGTTTGAAAATTCACTTCCCAGAGTATATATATATAGAGCAGGGTTCGCGCTTTGTCACAGTTGGAAATGGAGCGGAAAAAATCATCACGAAGAGCTTCACGAAAAACTTGAAAATCTTCGCGCTCTATCGATTTTTCCGACAGCATTTTGCAATAGGTTCGGAATTCTCCAAACAATTCTTTGTTTTGTTGCTCCAGAGAATATTAGCAGTAATTGTTGAACAACAACAAAATTCTCATTCACATGCTAATTCTGTTTTCCCAACACATTAGGCTCAGCAAATTATGGAGAACAAACCACCAGCAGTTCTTCAATCATTGCGATTCATCTTGAAAATTTACATCAAACCTAATTTTATTTCACCTTCTCAATGTTTCCACATCCATCGAACATCGAAAAAACAGTCTCTGGTTTCCATTTGACACGCAGCCAAATTTCGTAGATAATACGAATAAATAAGAGAACTTCGCTTCTATAATACCCAATTATTCATTTATGCCGCTATATCTGAGACTTCTATAGATTTCTCAGTTTACAAAGCTTTTTGATTGAAAATTCTTATCCTATATGAATCACTCTCGTCAAATTTCACACCGGAATAGCAGCGCTTCTCACCCTTCGTCCTTTCTCTGAACACATTTTGTACTAAAAACTGTGTGAGCAGAAGTCCTCAAGTGTTTCGACTCCTATAACAACTTCGACCCACGGTTTCTAACTTCTTACACGATACGTTTACAACTTCACAAGAAGCTCAAAAAATAAGCGGCCACTACGAAACTGTGTCTTCATAAAACTAGAAAGTTCAGACATCATCTCTCTCAAGAATTAACCCAATGCAGATCCGCGAAGAAGAAGCATAAAATAACATGGACAGATTTTTCTCGCGGTTGAAGCTATACGATAATAAAGCTAAGAAATTCGATAAAATGCGTCACGAACTAGACTGAGAAATGTCGTCGTCATCTTTCAGGACGAACATGACTTGTTTATCTCCATCAAGCATCCATTCTCTGAGGAACTCCACGAGATCATTTTTCTGCAAAGAAATAATGGGATTTTGGTAATAAATCTTTTCCAACAGAATCAAAATCAGGCTGTTTGTGGACCACACAGAAGAATGGAATGCTGACTATAATATTTTCAACAGTTACAGAAATTACTCAAGATTCCGAACTTCTTAAAGTCGAACACCTGCCAGACTTGAAAAAGTTCGCATTTTGAATCTCTCGGTTTGATCCAGAAATCATGAATGACGAGGATCGAATAACTCAGTTCAAACAGGATTAAAACGAATGTTAAAAAAATCCGATCTCCTCGAATAAAGAAATTCAAATCGCAAGAATCAAAATCTAAAGGTTGCTGAATCACGCACGTGAAACGTTTCCCAATAGTACTGCACTGTGTTTCTCTCAAATGTAATTAATGGTCATAAAACTGCTATAGCCAAAAAAGCATGCATCAATGAAGTATAATTCAAGATTATAAGTATTCTTTCCGCTAATCTATATACAGCTCAAAAAGTACAGAGGAGATAATACTGTTCACAAATCAGTCCAATTTGGTATGTTCCGTCCGGTTTAACTCACGTTGCCTATAAATTTAGGCTCAGGAAGTTTGGAATCCAACAAATAATATCCGGTTTCCATGCCTTTCAGGTCGCGGATTGCGACCCAATGACGTCTTGCAAAAGGAATCTCGACTGGTCCAATCTTCAAGTTGGAAGATATATTTGCTATCAAACCAAGCAACGCATCGTCACCCGTGCAAATCTCAGACGGATCTCTGAAAAACATAATTCCAGGTTAACCGGAAAAACCGTTGAAATGCACAAAAAAACAAATGAGGTGAGAAAATTTTCTCTATTCAATGACACGAACCCTCAATTCGTGATCTGAAAATATTAGAATCACGAACGAAACGTTGGATTATCGAACGAGTCAAACGATATTTACTCCACTCACAGAAATTAAGTGATATATGGAATGTTTCAACGAATACATTCATAGGGAATTGAATCCTCGAATTGTTCTTTCCTGAAATTCGTGCGCAAAGTGTTCATGATTCGAAATCATTTCAATACTTCACAAACTCATGGAACATCTTTCTGACGTGCATGTTAGGGCAGTCATATAAATTTTCAAAAAAGAAATTACTTCAATAACGTAACATGGAAATTTGAGAAAGTATCGGTTTACTTTTTTCTCCTACGACGATGAGCGACATGATTTTCACACGGGATTGATTCCAAGATTAATTTCACGAGAAAGAAAATGAAGAGTGTTTTCACTCGTACTTCATACTTTCACCCCATCGTACCTGAAAGTAAAGTTTACTTTTGCATCTTTGCATAAAATTCGGTAAACATATTTTGAAGACAAAGTTCACACTTGAACGGATTAAAATCATCCTCAATCACACTCGGAAATGCAGTATAAAGCAGCATTCCCCTTCAATCTTGATTTGAAACAAACCTTCTTGAGTCAAACCAATTCAGCGAATATCCCCTCGATTTAAGAGCAACAGCAATAACATTGTAATCGTAATTGCCGAAACCCGGAATCCAGGATTTATGCGCATTCAGAAAGGAGTCCGGATCCAGATTTCGACAGACGTCATCCAACTCTTGTCGAGTGAATTCCTGTTTCTGGAACAAGTTATTCAGCGCATGCAGCGCACACAGTTCAAATCTCTGCAACGAACACCAGAATCATGCATCGAAAGGAGCAGAAAAATATACCGAAAACTTTCTTAAAAACAAACCTGTTTTTCAAAATATCCAGCCATTTTACAAACGTCTCGGAGTTCCGCATCCAAAATATGCTGTTCTGAAAATCGAAAGTGCAATTAGTTCTCGATTCAAAAAATCCCATAATTTTTCAAGAACCAATAAGATCGTTTCGAAAAAACCAACTTTTGTTTTTCTTCACAGCAATACAGGCAATCGTTCTCGACGAATGACAATTGGGGAGAACAACGCTCGAAAGATCTTATATTGCCACATTATTCTCAACGAGAAAATAACTCATCTCTTGAAATATGCTACTGAAACATGAGCAATCGCATTCGCGAACGAAAAACCAAAGATAGCAAAATTGAAGCAAGAAAAAAAAAAGTCACGGAATGCATCCGAGGATAACAAACAGTTTTCAAAACGAAACAAAATTCCCAAGCTTAAACGAAAATGGCTAAAAACTCAAAGTTCCGAATGAACGTCCACTCCATGCGCGGCTGTTCCAACACCTAAAAAGAAAAACCAAAGGGTGAATAAAGACACACCGCTGGCTTTCAAATATCGACAGAAATTATGCAAATAACTTGAACAAACCTTCGTCAGCAGTCCTAGCAGACCCAGATTTTCTGGTGTTCCCATGTCCTTTCACTAAGCGTTCTTGAAGAGCCTTCATCTCGTCGTCGTAAGATTTCCATTCAGGAATAATTCTCATAGCAGCAGAAAGCTTTGCTTCTTTGGTTTTCGGATTATTGCACTGCAGGGCGAGGATTAGAGACGCATTGTACACAAATAACTGTATCAACAGGACACCCAAAAATATTACTAAAAAGTCATCCGAAGTTCGATCTGGGTACTGTGAATTCAAATAACCCCCACGTAAAATTGAGATGCTGTATTACCAGATATATCCATGATATCTAAAATTATTCGTTATTGTAACGGGTAAAGCAGGGAAATTCCATGATCCAGATTGAACATTATAATGCAGCTCATCAAATTTCCAGACAACCGATTAAAAAGTAATAATACGCACAAGGTCAATAGTTTTCGCTCCTGCTTTGGTTTCGTCACTGCACCAGGTCTCACACCAGAGCCACTCCTGAGGCAGAGACTTTATGCCAACCTGGTGAATCATGTTGTTCGGAAGATCCTATTGACAAAAAGCATGTTGCAAAAAACAAAATGTAAGGATCGAACGTGAATGAAAAAAGTAATGCAGATAATTCGACGAAGAAGCCTGACCTGATCCAGATTCGAGAGAGAGTTCGGATCCTGGCTCAATCCTTGATATTGACCGCGTAGACGATCACCAGCAGCAATACGCCTGAACTTCTTGAGATCAACGACATACAATGCAGAAATGTGGTATCTCCTGTTTTGCAGATGAGAACGCCAATACCCTTGTTTCCAAAACCTGAGGACAAAAAAAAAAAAAAACGTGAATATTCGTTCACTCGTCAGATTTCGAAGTCATATCTTTGCAAGTTTACCTATATCCCTCCATTTCGGTTCTTGAATCACAAAATGGTGTATACCCGTACGGATTTCCTTCTAAATCAAGATCCATGAGTTCTTTAAGGTCCGTTCGAACAACCTGAAGTATAGTCTGAATGTAGTTTAACACTGTGCATAAAAATAAGTACTTGGAGATTTTACCTGGTCGGCATCCACAAAAATAATTTTTTTGACATCAAGAGGAAACAAAACATCGAGGAAAAGTATCTTGTAACCCCAGATCAAGCGCTGCTTTTCGGTTTGTTGGTGAAGCCAACGAGGCCACTTGTACTCGACAAGCTCGTACTTGAATCCATATTCCGCAGCCATGTGCGGGAGGAAGTCCTATTGACAGGGACACAAGAATCGAAATTTCAATAAAAAATCGAAATGTCGAAGAATATTAGTCCCCGAAAGTCGACGATTTAAAGAAAACTCACTTTGAGGGAAGGCGAAAGGTAGTTTTTCAAGAACCAGAATTTGACAGGAACAGACGCATGCTTCACAACTGACAGCATCATGATTTTCAGAAAGCGTTCATACAAATGCCCGGACGCCAGAGAAAAGATGTTTATTACTTCATCATCCTTATCTTCTTTCTTTCCAGTCGACAACGAGCTGTGAAAAAATATACAAACCCGCTATAAATTTGAACCTTTCCGCAAAAATCAGCAAAATCATAATTAAAAAAAAATAACGTACCCTCCAAGCTAGTGTAAATTAAGCATCTGCACAAACAAACAAAACTATATGCCAACAGACAAACTCGGAAACTGATGAAAACACCAACGTAAAGTTCCAAGTGACGAAAAACCAAGAGAACCAAAACTGCTTGGTGTGCTCAGAGACCATATGAGTCGAAACCATACTACAAAGCTTACTCGAAATATGCGAGAAATTTCTCTTCGGCGAATGTGTAAATACCCGCCAACTGACTTCCCAAGTCTCGCAGCATTTCCCCCAGGATCGGGATTCTGACGAAATGAACGCAAATTTTCTGATACATACGCACATAGAAATTATGGAAACTGGATTAAGGGTTTAGGTTAAAAAGCCAAAAACTAGGACGTTAAAGAATGAACGTTTTCAGAAGGTTGACAAACATACTTGGAAATTGAATCCGTGATTCTATTCCAAAGTCCCGCGCTATCTTCGTCCATTTGATCAGAATCTGCAAGTAAATCCGCCATTTCCATTCCGGGCTTCTTTTGAACCTTGACTCGAACAACGTTGCTTCGGAAAGATGACATCAGAATTCTGACACCAGTGGAATCAGGCTTCACTTCAACTCCATCGTAACTTGAAGACAAAAAGATAAAATCAAATCCGAATACTTCACTCCTCCCTCAAATATCGCTAAACAGAATTACCTGGAGATTTGGAAAAGTTCGCTAGATCTGCCTTCTCGCAAGTTGAGAATCCAAGAACCAGGACTGCCTTTTAGTTGAAAATACCCCAAATTTGCCATCACAATCGTGTCAAAAACAATAGGCTGGTTCTCAGCAGCCAAGGTGAACTGCAATCCCCTCGGAGGATTTCCGGTTCCGCTTTCGAAGCAATGTCCTTCCAGTAGCAGATTTTCCAATTCGTATTCTCTGTGGCCCATCAGATAAAATTATTAAATTATTCAAGATCAATGAAACTTGATGTTGCTCAGGATTATTTTTATAAATACAACGTTTTTTACGATCATTCAAAATTTCAAGCATGAGGAATATGGTTGCACAAGTTCTGCGACTATATAGATTGATACGAAAATTTTCAGGCGAATTCAACAACGTAAGACTCGCCTTACTTCTGACTTTCTGCTGAAATTAAAAATAAAATTTTGTAAAGCAGAGGTCGAAGAAAGAAAAGTACCAACCCATAAACCCCGCCTTCGACGTCTTTCAACCTAATGTTATCCAAATCATACGGACTTCTCACAAGACCGACGAGCCAATTTTCCGGAATCTTCAATCCCATCGTCAAAATCGGTTCGGTTGGCAAATGCAAGAATTTGGCCACAGGGGCCACGAGTGATCCAGTCTCGGGCTCAAATTCCGGCTCCGACGCCAGAACGTATCTAAAGAAGCTCTTCATCGGCATTTCGGAATGTTTCTCCACGCAATTCATGTACAGTCGAACTTTGCTCGGCAACACTTTCATCACAGTCGACACCAAAGAAGCCATCAATTGGGCACCTCGCGTCAACGGATCCACAATACCGACGATGTCCAAATAGGGTTCCCCTTCCACTTGCGACGATAAGTGGACCGTGCTGCAGGAATACGAAAAACGGCGTTATATTGACTATACAGTATTTACATAAGTAGGAATGACGATAGAATAAAACGCATTCATGCAAGAAGCACTATAATAAGGAGAAAAGCATCCTCGACTAATTGCTTTATGCGATTTTATCAACGTATTTTCAATCTCCTCTTTTCTCCTCCGAAGTAAGTATTGATCGAAGCACTGAAGCTCACTTCGAAAAACCCCTTTTATAAATCAGGAATATGTTCAAAATGTCATCCATCATCAGAGGGAAGAAAAATAAAATTTCACCGAAAAAAAAAACATTCGATTAGACTTTGAATATCTCAGGCAGAATGGTGCAACTTCAGGAACAGAATTCCGAAAATCATAAAAAATGTTTCTTAAACTTTAAAAAAAAATTGAATTCATAGAAATTCAGAGAATTGCAGGACTCACGGAACGTGTTTCAATTACGACAGAGATTTTTAAAATTGAAAGTGGTTCGTTTCGGTCTACTTACAAAACCGTGCGTTACTTTCAGAGGACAAAAAACAGAAGTTTAAAAAACAGAAACAATGTGATTTAGGAAAACGATTTTTGGTCACAAGTGAGTCGATCTTGGTGTTGGCCAGCGCTTTCGTCCTCGATCTTCGCTCTTCGTCTGGGTGCTTTTCTCCCAACAATGCTTCTCGATGATGGCTCATACATGTACTGTAATTACGAAACGATTCACAGTACCTCGAATCAGACACCAGGGCTGGCAGTTCCAGTCTGCTTTTTGCGGCTCCTTGCGAAAGTAAGACAGTCGTTGCTCCAACGACGTAGTCACTCAATGTCCGCCCTTGCTTCCCTTGAGCTTTGACCTCGAGTAGCATTTGAATAATCGCATCAGCCGACGTAGACGACACGTATCGGCTCAGCAAAAGGAAATCACTCTCCACAAAGTCTTCCTTCGCTCCCAAAGGCCCGATAACACGGCCATTGCAAATAACCACAGCTTGACCCGGGCGAACGTTTAACATCTTAGACGAGTACTGACGATGGAGGTTGAGAATACTAGACATGTCCAAGGCATCAAAAGCCTTTGAGTAGGACAGGAGGTCAAATCCCTACAAATAAAAAAATAGGCGTACAATTCAAATACTGTGCATGTATTGTATATAGATACTTCCTGAGCTGTTACACGTGAGGGAGTCCAAAGTTCGAGAAAAATCATGGAAGAGAGAATATTTTCAAAAATAGTTTCATGCCAAGAAAGTATACAGGTTTGATCATGAAAAATTTGATTGATTTCCAACAGTTGTATTTGCGGCATTTATATGGTCAAGAGCTGTCGCGTCCCAAAAATTCCTGTCACAATACTGCACGATCAATTTTCTTTCGAACTATACATTGAATTTTGCGCTTCTATATACTGTATACTTTATTGTACTTGATTTTTTACTACCAGCCCCAAGTACTTGTCAAATTAACAAAAGCAACAAAAACTTGGACCCGTTCCTAATTTTTCCTGAAAAAAAAATATTCGAATCCAATCGTTTGGGCCGGAATGTTTTGATGAGAGGCTAAATACCCAGCTAAATAATTATTTCAAACTTGATGTCAATGATGAGATGAGAAGAAACTTCCTCTCGATGGAAAAATTTGAGGCAGGATTCCTTCCATACATTTCTTCGGATTTTCAGATATCCCCACGCATATTTGAGCTCCATCAAAGTGCTTCTCAGATGAGAAACAAATTCAAAAGAAAAGCAACCAACCTTCACGTTCAGTTGAACAGGCTCTAGGTTTCCTTCGACAAACTTCTTAACATTCTTGTCGGTCAAAAAAGCATCGAGAACTTCAGCTGCGACACGATTCTCCTGACTCTGAATGACTGAAAGTACCGCTTTTGCAAGACGATCATTATTCACATCTTCTGCGTTGAACAACAATCCGATGCGCATATTCGGATCCCCAGCCTGAAATTAATTCAAGAAAAGGATACAGATTACAGTCAGATGAGCAGAAAATGTGGAAAACTTACAATATGAGAAGCAGCAGCCCGAACAATCCCTAGCCCTTGCCGATTATTGACATCAACCGCCAACCAAACCGTAACGGGTTTGGTGCCCATCGACCCAGACTTCGACGAGAAATACGGAAAATTCGAGAACACTTTCTGAGTCAAATCGTCGTCCTTGGGATCACTGAACAAGCTGGATGCATCAACGTATTTGACTTCGTCATTATCTCCGGTCAGAATGCGATTATTCAGCCTCGGCATGACATTCGGCTGCCGCATGAGGAAATCCAAGACATTGTCCGAGTCGGTCAGGGACCCATCATACACAGCTTGTTGCAACACGTTCATTTGAGACGACAAAGCCATGATGGCTCCTTCCTCAAAGCCATCAGCATTTAAATGCTTCTGCTCCAATGGAATCCCGTTCATCAGTACTTGGGGCAAACGCTCGAGTCCTGTCCTTGAAATGAAGTCTCTGGCTAATTGGCGACCATAATCGTAAGTCGAATCCGCGCCGAATATCTCGTCGAGGTTATCTTTCGGACGAAGCCTTTTCATCACTTCGCGGACTATCTCAGGAGTCACCGGATCTGCACCTGCTTTGGCATATACCTGAAGAAAAATCAGAATACATGGCTCATTACCAAAATAATCATAGCGACCGGATACCGAGTTCCGGAAAGAAATGTGGTAATGGAGAACTTCGTATTGGGCGAAACATTCCACACAAATGGATTCCGAGGAAAAGATCTGAAATCCACCAGATCTCTACTTATTTATTCATAATAGTCTCAAAATACGAGTACGGTATAAATATCAATACTTGAATAGATAACTCTTTAAACGAAAATATATTTTTTTTAATTTATTCAAGTCATGTACGCAAACTGACAAGACATCTATCCATCCATAAGCTCGATCGTCCCCACGCACGTTTCCAGAAATAATTTTTGCACAGTTCTGGAATTTATCGCTGAATCATGTGCCATTTACGCAGAGCAAATTTCACGAAAAAATTACCATATTACAGAAATACGGTAATTATTCAAAGTCAGCCCGGATCCTGTTCAAAAATATGCGCAATGAACATACGGCTTTATTGTTGATTAATTTTTCAACGCTTTGGAACCCCGGATGATTGGTTTGAAACCAAGAAGAAAAGCTTATATAGCAGAATAATAAGCAGGATGACAGCAGCAGTGAGCTCTTTTATACACAAGTTGTCAGATTTGTTGCTTAAACTTCATTCTTCTATTCCATCTCTACATCGCATATTGAAGACAAGTCCAGAAATGTCGCAAAGACGCAATAAAAATGTGAAGTAGAGTCGCACCCGACGAATGCTGACTATACCTCCAACAATTGTTGGCATAAGATATTTCAGAAATAGCTTTTTTTAATGACTCTGATGGTGCACCATTCAGGAATCAAACTCACATCCGTAAGGAAGCTAAGTCCTGCAGCAGCGTTCTTCACGGAAGAAACGGCGTTGAAACCCAGCAACATGGCAACACCCGCGTCATCATTGCCGGTAACCTCTTCTCTTGGGTCAACGGAGAGAACGAATCCGATCCTGATGGGCGCCTTATGGACGTAAAATGACTCCGCAATTTTGACCAGCTCTGCGCTCGTTTTCTCGGCGGGATCCACCAATAAAACCTACGTGGAAATGAATTGAGGAATAATAATTCAGAAAAAAATGAACTTTGAAAATTCGGGAACCCATTTTGAAGAAAGAAAATTATGGAGGACTCTCGCTCTCTTTTGAACTCATCGTCCAACTTTGAAGACCTCGAGCGGAATATTTCACGGAAAACTGCGTGAAATTGACGCGAGTCTTTATATTCTTTTCCATTTTTTCCACGCGTCATAAATTCTGCAAGATACAGTAGTTATCTATTCACGTGTTTTACTTTCATTTAATGCATGACATGGTTTGTCGGCATTCTCCAAGTTGTTTTTGCCAGTATCTCTATTATTCATGCAAAGGGCCAAAACAAACATGCGGTTCTTCTTCCTTTAGATTAACATGCGAATTATGCGGGATTCTTAAAATAATCATCTAATCTGATATGCTCCACTTTCATGTCTTACTTCAGCCTGACGGCAAGAAGCTTAAAATGGCACAGCGGTTTCTTTGAACAATTTAAATAAAAACATATGGAAATTACTCCACTTGGAAGTGACGGAAAAATTATATGATCGCCCATTCTGATGGGAAATCATGACAAGTAACACATTTCATTGTTAATCAGATGTAAACGAAGATTTTCAAGTTTATAAAATCAACTTGACTAAACAGTAAAAACGAAACGGGTCTCACGAAAATCAGTGAAATCTACAAGTGGCTTGAACTCCGTGTCGCCAAATAAATTCATGTCGTTGTTTCTATTTCAGTTGAAAGCTCGAGTGTACACGTGAATCTTAGGTGATATCAAATTTTCGGCCAAAAGAATATTTTACCAGGTGAAAAATGTTCCTCCGAATGCTTCTCAACATCCCTGGAAAAACGGGTCTCAACAGCTCCAACAACTGAGACGGCCACTTGGCGTAAGACGGATCTTTCTCTATGTCATTAACATAAACCACAGCCGTGTCCCGAATGTCCAAAGCATAAGACGGGGATCCTTTGGATGACGTGGATTTACTCTTGCCAATGTCCAACGAAAGCATTTTGACGACGGTCTCCTGGTTCAAACCGAGTTGATGCAGTCCTTCCATCTTCTTGTGCTCGGTTTTCAACGAATCCAGCAAAGAAAATGGGTCAATCGTATCCATGTCATAGGTGAGTCCATTGACCAGCAAAAATGCATCCGACGGCTGGATTCCGATTTCGTTTTGAATGATTTTCTGGTTTTTCTTCACCTCTTTGCGAAGCTCATCGCGAACAGCTGTTCTGACCAAGGATCGCGCCTGTACAGAAATGGAATAGTTCACACATTGCAATTAAAAAATACAGTAGCTTGAAATGCTTGCGTATTAGCACAAGTATTACCAAATAACGAACAAATCGCCTAAATTCCCGTGAAAAATGTTTTCTAACCCAAGCGCGAGGAATTTCGATTTCCGTGGGCATTTCGAAAAATTTGCAACCAGTTTTTAAAAATAAGATCCATTTTTTTCTAAATTCCAAAGCTTTTCAGCAAATTTTGCACGAATTTGAGCATGTTTCCCAGCAATCTTGAAACAAGAAGTGAAGCAATCCGCAAATACTGTACTGATTTTGGAGAACTTTTCGTTATCATTAATTAGAAAATGCAACTGATGATCATTCCAATAAATACAACTTGCAGACAGTTTTAATATTAGAAAGTTATCATTGGCGAAGATTTGAGCTGATCTCCGGAACACTTAGATGAATGTGACCTTGCAGAATACCGTGAAAGATCATATTCTCTGAGATCGTGCAATGGTCAATCAATTCATCTGAAAACATTTTAAATGCGGAAAATTACACAGACAACCTGTAGGAAAGATTCGTTCATCTCACCACCGTTTCTTAGTTAGAAAATACGAAGTGAAAAATCAGACATCCCTCGAACAAATCAAAAAAATATTCGTGATACAAATGAATGAATTCCAATAAAAAAGAAAGTAACAAAAAATAATGCCTTTTTCTGCAAAAAAAAAAAAGAAAAGAAGAGGTGACACATTTCCGAAGTCCAGTAGATGATGGATGCATGCTGGACGAACCTGAAGTGGGAAGTTTTGCGAAATCTGACTCATGATGCTCAGAGCTTCGTCTTTCGGTGCAGCTTTTATTCTTTCCGCGGCCTGCAAGCTGAGATCTTGCAACTGCCAAACTTTCAGCGGTGCGATCTCTTGATTGCTTTCCAACAAATGGGCTTTCAATTTGTCAATCGAACCAGTCTTGTTTGGATACAGCTCCCTGAGAAAAAGAAGACAAAAAACGCGTGATTACTTCGGCAAAAAGACATTTTCAAAATTTAACAGCGAAAATCGTGCACGATAAGACCAAAACTGCGTTCCTGCGACGGAAGAGCAAAAAAAAAAAGAGTTTCAATTCCGAAATGATCAACCAAATGAAATGAGCACAACCATTCTTTCTCAACTGCAGAAATATAAGTGATTAAACCCTTTCTCAAAGTTCGCTTCGTGTTTTCAGTTGATTATAAAGAAAATATCTAGAATTAAGCTAAGAAAACGCTTAGTACAGCGCTGTACCCACGACTTTTCCACCACGAAATTTCGCACGTGAAACGCAAATGTTTCTTTTTCGCAAAAATATTCTAGTTGAGCAAAATTATCTCAAATTGCATCGAGCGACGAGGAGATAAAAAAATACGGTATTCTGATGCATATTTTCAAGTACAGTAATACAAAATAGAACCCTTTTGAGCAAGATGATGTCATTGGTGTCCATCAAGTCCACTGTCATAAATTTGTCAACCTGAACTGACGNAAAATTATCTCAAATTGCATCGAGCGACGAGGAGATAAAAAAATACGGTATTCTGATGCATATTTTCAAGTACAGTAATACAAAATAGAACCCTTTTGAGCAAGATGATGTCATTGGTGTCCATCAAGTCCACTGTCATAAATTTGTCAACCTGAACTGACGTCCGGTTTACCAGCTTGTTTGCTCCAACTTTTGATCCTCACACGCTTCAAAATTTGAAGAAACGTCACTACTTTAAATTTGAAAATCGATTTCGTGCGCAAACAAATTCTGTGACTTTCATAATCGCTGATCCGTCTCAACATTAGAGAAAATTACCTGGAAGCGAAACACAGAGAAAGATGACATTTAGTCAACGAACGACAGCGTGAACTCCTCAACGAAGCAGCAACACTTCGCATTTTTTCTGTACTTTCATTTTCTCATGCTTATCCAGTCTGCAGACTGAAGTCGCATTAAATGACAGACTACAGTGATTGAAATCGCCCTTTCAAAATCAATGGAAGACACTGCAGATACCCGCGTAACAGACCACGAAATGGAATTCTCAGAAGGTCCGTCCAAAAGGTGTCCAAGAAACACGAACTTCGAAGCAAGGCAATTATGACCAGAGCCTTAGAAGGTTCGAAACAACTCAACATGTCTCGACTGGAGTGTCAAATCAAAGCTCAAACGAGGGCACCCAAGAAACCGGCTTCGCAATTAACCTATAAAACGTAAACCGACACGAGAATGCTAACGCAAATAAAATGAAAATAAAACAATAGCCTTGAATCCTCCCATTCATTAAAACAATGAAAAAAACTTACGCAATTGGATAGCATCTACCACACATTTTCTCTACAGCGGTGTTCTCCATACAATGCCCTATTTTCTGATCCTCGTAGACTTGTTCTAAAGGGTGTTTCAAAAATCTCGAGACTTTCCTTCCCATCAATATTTCCATTCATCAGACGAGTATGTTATTTTTCCAATAACATACTGAAATCTCCTCTGACCCTTATTCTAATTTTAGCCAATAACGTTCGAAAAATTGAATGCAGAGACGAAGCAGTTTGAAGAAAACTTCTCATGTAATTAAACAAAAGCATTTTCTCTGAGACGATCTGAAACGATTTTTTTTAACGTTAAGCCAATAATTTGAATGAAAAGGAAATTTTGGTGATATGATGTTCAAGATGACTTTAAAATCTCATAGAAACGGAAGAAAGGTTCTGATATTCATACTTTCGCTGGATGTGAAAGTAGTAAAAATTTTACTAGATAGTTCACCAATTTGAGGTTGTATTTTATCATCCCTATGAAGTGAGAAAATAAGGATTCATTCATGCCCGTGAAACTTTTTCCATAAAAGACTCGGAGGATTTCAAAAAAGTTTCATGTACTGGACGGAACTAAGATTTTAGGCATCCTTCTTGTTTTCATTGTGTATTTTACAGAAAGGCCATTTGCATTTGAAATGACGAAGCCCATTCAAAGGCGTCGAATATATTTTGATTGATTCGGTGATGTGAATTTACGTTGTTTCTCCAAAAAAGTAAAAAAAAAAAAGGTGTTAGAATGTGTCAAGATACTGTAGTAGCAAGAATTGAAAAAAAACTGTTTCTTAATTCCTGTTTTTTGTTTCCTATACGAAAATTTGTCTTTACTTTTTTGATGAGCTCTTTTTAGAATAGATTCCTTTTCCCCGGCCCCCATCGAAATATTATTTTGGAAATAAGCCTCGTAAACTCATTCTTTTGCAAATGCACACTTTTTCGGCTGCAAAATGACAAAATTCCATGGATATCCAGTACAAAGAACCGGTGCTTTCATGCGTACAAAATTCTCCGCCACCGTTTCAAAACTTTGGTCAAAATTTTCACAAAAAGCTTGCTTCCAATATCATCATAAAAAAGACCAACATACGAGGTTGACCACAGATCCTCTCCTCGAACATGTTCAATGACACGATGACACCATCAACGCGAGAAATTGGGTTCCAATTAACAAAGCAGGTTTCAAAATGTTGTTCCACTACCAATTGTTCCACGTTTATCCCTCCTCACTTCTTCCCATCATGCGATGGTCATTATTGCATAACCCGAAAATGCTTCAACTTTCATTACATCGATGATGCGTTCATCGAACTGGCCGGGCAGAGGAAATAAAAGCATTCCATTTTTAATATTGGACGATGAGATTAATCCTCGCCAACTTGAAAAAGGCAAAACAAAAATACGGCAAGAAACCATAAAAGTGACACCGTGAGTCAACCGGTCACATTAACCTTCCCATATATTCTCCACTCAAGTGTCGTTTTCAAGATTTACGACGAATAATATACAGTGGTTGGTGCATTAATTGAATCTGTCACAGTATACACTAAACAGTATCTGATCCTTTTTTAAATATAACCCTACCCTTTTTTAAACCTTTATTAAATATATATGCCATTATGTCGCAATCCAGTGCTCACGAAAATGTTAATGACGACTCGAGAGCCGAAGGGAAATTTATTCCTTCAATGATTTTCATAAATGCAAGAATGACAAGTGGGACGAACGTCAATCATTCTTAGAAACCCGCGAAGGGAAATCTTTGTCACAACTGGTTACATGAATGACGACATTCTTTTGAGCTTGTTTCACCCAAACGAATTCCTGAGTGGATCGTCAGCAAGCAATGTGAGTAAATATCGGGGCGACAAGTCTTCCCACAAAGCTTCAAAAAGCCCTGCAATATGCGCAAAATGTTGAAAAAAATTTATTCTGAAAATCCATCAACTGCTGAAATAATGAAATAAAATCATACTGTGGTACTGTACATTCAATCGGACATTTAAGAGAAAAGGCAACATCAACTTCACAGAAACCATTTCTATTTCAAAGCAGAATGCTGTGAACTAAAATTTTGTTGTTGCTCAATTGTGAAATTTTATCGAGAATCATTTCATTCAAACTGAACAAAGATTATAATTTTCTGTCCTAAACTTCTAGATTCGAATTTCAATTGCCGAAGTCAATCTTTTTTTAATTGGGTAGGTTTTCATTCTCGAATTTCCTTGCTTCTTGGCATTCTGATGACTGCTTCGGACCTTCGAAAACTCAAACCATCCTACCTCGAATTTTTAGTTATTTTTGTCAAAATTATTTCGCAAACAAGAGTAGTCTCGCTACTAGCTCTCGATTTTCTCAATTCAAATTTCACAAGGTTCACAAGCTATTATTCTAGGTATAAAACTTGGGACTTAGAAAATTGAGGAGACATTAAAATTTTAAATTGATTCCTTATAAAAAAGTCAGTGGCTAATTAAGAAAAAAACGCTTGCTTCGAAGTTCAGCATTTTGTTGACTTGTTGACTTATTCAACCATCACTTTTAGTCCCAAAACATGACCATTTCTTTCTGGAAAANACACATTTTCTCTACAGCGGTGTTCTCCATACAATGCCCTATTTTCTGATCCTCGTAGACTTGTTCTAAAGGGTGTTTCAAAAATCTCGAGACTTTCCTTCCCATCAATATTTCCATTCATCAGACGCGTATGTTATTTTTTCAATAACATACTGAAACCTCCTCTAAACCTTATTCTAATTTTAGCCAATAACGTTCGAAATTTGAATGCAGAGACGAATCAGTTTGAAGAGAACTTCTCATGTAATTAAACAAAGCATTTTCTCTGAGACGATCTGAAGCGATTTTTTTTACGTTACGCCAATAATTTAAATGAAAAGGAAATTTTGGTGATATGATTTTCAAGACTTTAAAATCATACAGAAAAGTTCTAATATTCATACTTTCGCTGGAGGTGAAAGTTTTAAAAATTTTACTAGATAGTTCACCAATTTGAGGTTGCATTTCATCATCCCTATGAAGTGAGAAAATAAGGTTTCATTCATGCCCGTGACACTTTTTCCATAACAGACTCGGAGGATTTCAAAAAAGTTTAAATGTACTGGACGGAACTAAGATTTTAGTCATCCTTGTTTTCATTGTGTATTTTACAGAAAGGCCATTTGCATTTGAAATGACGAAGCCCATTCAAAGGCGTCGAAAATATTTTGATTGACTCGGTGACGTGAATTTACGTTTTTTCTCCAAAAAAATATTTAAAAAAAATGTTAGAATATGTCAAGATACTGTAGTTGCAAGAATTGAATAAAACTGTTTCTTAATTCCTGTTTTTTGTTTCCTATACGAAAATTTGTCTTTACTTTTTTGATGAGCTCTTTTTAGAATAGATTCCTTTTCCCCGGCCCCCATCGAAATATTATTTTGGAAAGAAGCCTCGTGAGCTCATTTTTTTGCAAATGCACACTTTTTCGGCTGCAAAAATGACAAAATTCCATGAATATCCAGTACAAAGAACCGGTGCTTTCATGCGTACAAAATTCTCCGCCACCGTTTCAAAACTTTGGTCAAAAATTTCACGAAAAGCTGGCTTCCAATATCATCATAAAAAAGACCAACATACGAGGTTGACCACAGATCCTCTCCTCGAACATGTTCAATGACACGATGACACCATCAACGCGAGAAATTGGGTTCCAATTAACAAAGCAGGTTTCAAAATGTTGTTCCACTACCAATTGTTCCACGTTTATCCCTCCTCACTTCTTCCCATCATGCGATGGTCATTATTGCATAACCCGAAAATGCTTCAACTTTCATTACATCGATGATGCGTTCATCGAACTGGCCGGGCGGAGAAAATAAAAGCATTCCATTTTGAATATTGGACGAGATTAATCCTCGCCAACTTGAAAAAGGCAAAACAAAAATACGGCAAGAAACCATAAAAGTGACATCGTGAGTCAACCGGTCTCATAAACCTTCCCATATATTCTCCACTCAAGTGTTGTTTTCAAGATTTACGAAGAATGATATACAATGGTTGGTACATTAGGAATTGAATCTGTCACAGTATGCAGATTCTAGTGCTCACGAAAATGTTACTGACGACTCGAGAGCTGAAGGGAAATTTATTCCTTCAATGATTTTCATAAATGCAAGAATGACAAGTGGGACGAACGTCAATCATTCTTGGAAACCCGCGAAGGGAAATCTTTGTCACAACTGGTTACATGAATGACGACATTCTTTTGAGCTTGTTTCACCCAAACGAATTCCTGAGTGGATCGTCAGCAAGCAATGTGAGTAAATATCGGGGCGACAAGTCTTCCCACAAAGCTTCAAAAAGCCCTGCAATATGCGCAAAATGTTGAAAAAAAGTTATTCTGAAAATCCATCAACTGCTGAAATAATGAAATAAATTCATACTGTGGTACTGTACATTTATTCGGACATTTAAGAGAAAAGGCAATATCAACTTCATAGAAACCACTTCTATTTCAAAGCAGAATGCTGTGAACTAAAATGTTGTTGTTGCTCAATCGTGAAATGTTATCGAGAATCATTTCATTTAAACTGAACAAAGATTATAATTTTCTTTCCTAAACTTCTAGATTCGAATCTCAATTGCCGAAGTCAATCGTTTTGTGATTGGGAAGGTTTTCAGTCTCGAATTTCCTTGCTTCTTGGCATTCTGATGACTGCTTCGGACCTTCGAAAACTCAAACCATCCTACCTCGAATTTTTAGTTATTTTTGTCAAAATTATTTCGCAAACAAGAGTAGTCTCGCTACTAGCTCTCGATTTTCTCAATTCAAATTTCACAAGGTTCACAAGCTATTATTCTAGGTCTAAAACTTGGGACTAAGAAAATTTAGGAGACATTAAAATTTTAACTTGATTCCTTATAAAAAAGTCAGTGGCTAAATAAGAAAAAAACGCTTGCTTCGAAGTTCAGCATTTTGTTGACTTGTTGACTTATTCAACCATCACTTTTAGTCCCAAAACATGACCATTTCTTTCTGGA